AGATAAAAATACATTGGGACAGAGGGATTTAGGGACAGTGGAATAAAAGGATTTAGGGACAGAGGATCCTGGGGAGGTTGAACGAAACAAAATAAAAATCTAGAAAATGCATGAGACCCCCAATGGGGGTGCTAGGGGTCTCTTGTGATTGGTCCAAAAAACTTTTTTTTTTTTTACTTTCAGCCAATGGCAAAGCCCCATGTGGCACTGGGGGTCCCCAGCAAAGTCCATAAAATCTATAACCAACAAAATGAGAAAGAAAGACAATTTATATCTGTAGTTGTATGTGATAAATTGAATAGAGAGAGAGAAAGAGAGAGACAGAGAGAGAGAGAGAGATGTTCATGGTCGATAAGTTGTGTCTCACCATCTAGTAATACAGGTGTGACATTTTGTTTTATAAAACAACCTTTTTGGGGCATGATCCTCTGTTCCCAAAAAGGTTTGTCCTTATGCCTTATCACTCACAACTACATGAATTGATTTTTTAAAATTAAAAATCATATAGCATAGCCATGAATGCATGGGACAAAAGGGATAGACACCTTTTTTAGGACAAGAGATCCCATACATTAAAAGCTCGATTATAATTTTTTTTCCTCTCAAAGAGTCATAATTATTGTTACTTACGTCGCAGTATTAATAATGTTGTTGTATCTATGAAATGGTATATGCATAATCACAAGAAAATTTGTATAACTTACATTTTTGGGGATCAATAAGGAACTGTCATTCTGGTTTTCCAACCGGCAAAGGAAGGAGACGGAAGAGCAAAGATAATGTTAGAAACCGGGATATTAGAGAATGTTGACGCCATCTTTGGTTTGCATGTCTTATCTAGATTTCCTATTAGTACAATTGCTGGCAGGAGTGATCTTATCTTGGCCGGGAGCGGTTTCTTTGAGGTTGTGATAAGTGGAAAAGGGGGACATGTTGCCATTCCCTAACATACAATCGACCCAATCTTAGCAGCTACCAATATAATTGTTAGTTTGCAACATCTCGTTTGCAACCTCTCTTTGTGTGTGTATGTGTAGTGGAGTAGGTGAGGTGGTAGTGGTGTAGTGGGTTAGGTTTAGTGGAGTAGGTGAGGTGGTAGTGGTGGTAGGTGATGGTAAATTCTAACATGATGTTATTTTCGTAGCAAGGATTCTCTAGAATTTTTTTTCCTATAGAATTTTTTTTTCCTAAAGTTTTCTAGGAAAAAAAACTCTAGAGGATCCTTGGTGTTAGTTATGGTAGCTAATTTTTTTAAGTTGACACTTTTTTAGCTTAGTTTTTTTAGCTTTATTTGATTTTTATTTTTGGATTTTTTTTTAATTTTTATGAGACGAAAAATGTAATAATTATAGTTTAAATGTGACATTTTATCGTATTAATTTATATAGCCTATTTTATCTTTTTATATTTTTTTAGCCCAAAATATTTACGACTTACACCAATTACTACAATTCCTCACATTGACCCATTTCCCATCTCAACGTCCAATCCAAAATTCACAAAAACATTCTCACAATTTCATGGATTTCTTCAAATGGACCACTTTGATTTCCACCCTCTACATCTTTCTCTCATCAACAACACCCACTTCATCAAATTCTTCTTTAACCCCAGAAGAGTTAGCAAAAGTCCCAGTGAATTTTCACAATCTGTCTAAAAGTCCAGAGCTTGTTGATTGGAAGGTGGGAATTAGGAGGAAAATACATGAGAACCCAGAACTTGGTTTTGAGGAATTTGAGACGAGTGAGCTTATCAGAGCTGAGCTTGACAAAATGGGCATCCATTATAAGCACCCGGTGGCTATCACCGGTGTTGTCGGCTTCGTCGGAACCGGAAAACCGCCATTTGTTGCCTTAAGAGCAGACATGGATGCTCTGGCCATGCAGGTCAGTCTAGTGTCTATATATATAGAGGTGACTACATGTGTGAAATCAAAGAACTATGACAGTTAGTTGAATTTAAAGTTATTGGATTTGAGAATTGTGAGAATTATTTGAAGTGATTGGATTTGAGTGAAATGAAGTATTTCTTGTGCTTCTGTTTTGAATATATATATATATATATATTTTTTTTATAGCTTTTCAAGTGATATATATGTATATATTTGTATGGCATATATATAAATGTGGGCGACCTTGTGATGACAAATTTTCATTACTTGAGAATATCTCTATATTCAAAAGTGGCATATTCCATGACGTGGATAGGCTCATAAAGTCCATAATCCACTATGAACAATTCAAGCCTACCACTTAGGACCCAATGCATAACCCAACTGATAAAGCCCAACACGGCTGGAAGTCAACATGACATGAAGGACCAATGATATTCAGACACGTGGCAGGTAAAGGGCAAGCTACATCAGCAGACAAAGATCTGCAAAGTTATTGCCACTGCACATCGCCATTAATGCAACCCCTTACAGCATTTATTACGACAACACCTCTCCGTCGGGACAGCACACCCTCATCCTGAACAAGGTAAGCTACAACATAGACTTTTGGCCAAGGTGACAGGTCGGAAGGGACAACGAAATGATTACCAAAGGATATAAGCAAACGTTGAAGATAAGAAGAAGGTTAAGCTATCTACATACTCCACTCTCTCTCTCTAACTTGCTCGTCGAAGGGTTCGCTGGGGGACTCCCCGTTCCCCGTTGAACTCGTGTGCAGGTTCTCTGGTAGGTTTAATCATTCGGATATTAGGCTTGAAGAGCGTGGATCAGTCCAACCCGTCCTACCATCATAACTGTATCATCAGTTGGTGCCGTCTGTGGGAACGCTTTGCTCCTTGCGCCAGTTGTGTTCATTGTCGCCGGAGACCCTGTCCCAATAACCCTTTCTTGATACCCATCACAGTGTATGGTCACGACTAGATCTATGGCTTCTCACCAAAATGCCGCCGACCACCAAGCCGACCCCCCCAATCCAAAATAACCCACCACAGTATTTCATCGAGCTTACTAACAGCAACAACCGCATGGCTGAGCAAAACCAAGCCCTGATAAATGCTCTACTCCAAAGAAACCTTCTTATACCCCCTCCACCACCACCAGATATTCCTCCCAACCAAGAACGAGCCCCGAGCCATACTATCCCACAGCCCTATCTACCCAACTTGGAAGACTTGCACCCTCCTCCTCCTAAAATGAATCCACTCCCCGACCCTCGCATCCATCGGTCCTAGCACCAACTCCTGAGGGGAAAGCCAGTAGCGTCCAACCCCCACTGCCTTCCGGTGGCGATAACATCCCTCTCTGGGATGCAGAACTCGAAGCCATGAAGCTCCAACTCTAAGGGGTCATGCAGAACATCCAGCATAAACCCTCTACCACAGTAAACTTACCATTTGTCGCCTCCATCCAGGACAAACCTCTACCCCCCAAGTTCAAAACGCGCACCATCGACTCTTTTGATGGTACGACGGACCCAGTCGACCATCTGGAGACCTATAGAACCCTCATGATCCTCCATGCATTCCCTGATGAGATCATGTGTCGAGCTTTCCCTGTGACACTGAAGCGGTCAGCTCGGCTGTGGTTTAGCCAGTTACCAACAAACTCCGTCTCCACTTTCCAGCATCTCAGTGACTCCTTCCTCAGCCATTTTATTGGAGCCCAGCGCCAACGCCGTCCGGCAACCCAACTCCTTAACATCCTCCAGACCGAGGGGGAGTCCCTGCGCAGTTTCGTTACCCACTTCAACATTAAAGCCTTGCAGGTGGCGAAAAACGATGATAAGGTCATCCTTACGGCTTTCATGGCTGGACTACGGTCGTCTGATTTTCTCTTCTCCCTCTTTAAAAACCCCTCACCTCCATGGCAGCCCTACTCTCCAAAGGCCAAAAATACATGAACGCAGAAGATTCCCTAACCGCTTGCCAAGACCTTACAATAAAAAACCTGACCTCTCGAGAAAAGCGAAAAGACCCAGAAGCTAGAAATACCCAGTACAATAACCAAGCACCGCATTATATAGATCGACCCCCCCGAGCCGACCGGTTGGCACCAGCTCGACCGCCCGGTCGGTTCGAGCGGTACACACCCCTCAACTCCTCCATGGAGCAAGTTCTCAACCAGATCCAGCGGGATTACCCCCTCAAATGGCCTCAACCATTACGAACCCCCTCCGGTCGGAAAGACTAGTCCAAATATTGCCGTTTCCACCAAGACCACGGCCATAACACCGATGAGTGTGTCAACCTCAAAGATCAGGTTGAGACCTTCATATGTCAAGGACGTCTTAGCTGGTTCACGGACACCCGCCCTCAGCAGAGGCAGAGGAATGAGCCCCCTAGAAACAACCGCCGGCGCACCCCTCCCCGGCAGCCAACCCAACCTAACCAAGACCGTGATCAGCCCCCATAGCAACCTCGAGCACAGGGTAACCATGCCCCACCTGTTGGAGAAATTAGAGTTATTTCTGTAACAACCCTCATACTGTTTACCGATTAATGACTGATTGATTACCGATAACCATCGATTACCGTTAAACTAAATTGATTATGACTGATTATGATTGATAATTGGACTGATTAAAGTACTGAACTGACTGACTGGAATCTGGAATTAATTGACTGAGTCTATCTGTTTAATTGTGCATCTATCTGTTTGATTGATTATTTGATCTGTTCGTGTTTTACGTTTAAACTGCTAATTGGAGGCCTTGTCGGCGGCCGAACCGGGAATTGATTGATGTTTTAGAATCCTCATAATTAATGTGATTTTATGGTATACTTATCTGAAAACTAATTAGGTATGATTAAATTAGATTAATGGTGCTAAATTACATGAACTGGACTTATTACCAAATTGTCACTCTTAGTGGCCCACTCAATATAACACATTAGAGCCCTTGCATGCTTGAATCAAAATATTTCATGAGTTCCTTCTCCTTGTTCAACCGGCCTTAGAGAGAGAGGAAGGGAGAGAGAGTTGAATTGTTCTAGTGAATTGGCTTGAATAGCTTGGAATTGAAGTGCAAATTGTCAAATTGGACACCTAAACCTTGAACACAAGACTAAGGTAGGACATTCATCTTCTTGTTGTTGCTATAGACTTGATTCTTGCATGATTCATGCTTCATTTGTAGAGTTAAGCCATGTTTTAGTTCATACATGTAGGATTAGAACATAATTCATGCATGCATGTTTGAATTGATGAGTTTAGAGTTGAATCCATGGTGAAATGGAACATGCATGTTCATAATTTTTGTAATGGTCCATGTTTTCAACTTGTTTTTGGATCAATTGGCTCCTTAGAGCATCAAATTGGAACTTCCAAATGATTTGAATTCATGCATGTTTGCGTGTTCATATTGTTCATGAAATTGGTTTGAAATTGAGATTGAATTAAACACCCTTGGGCCTTGATTTCTCAAAATTGAGCTTTGAACTATGATATTCTATGTGTTTATAAATGTTTTCCAGAAAATGGGCCCAAGAGGATGGGTTTTGATGCATTTGAATGTGAGTTCGAGCTTGGAGGTGCAATCTGGAATTCCCAGATTCTGCACTTCCGCTCGAGCGGGGGAAGTGCCGCTCGAGCGTGGAATCCGAGCATCCAATATCTCTGCACTGTTTTACAGTCCGCTCGAGCGGAGGATTGGGGGCTCGAGCGGAGGATTGTGTCTCAAGCTCGAGCGGGCGTCGAGCGGAGATTTCACCCATCCAGTACTTTTACAGTACGCTCGAGCGGGAAAGTTGACGCTCGAGCGTGTACCTTTGTTGCATGACCGCTCGAGCGGGGAAACCTGCGCTCGAGCGGGACTCTGTTTTTCTGAAAATTTTGAAACTGCTTTTTGAGTACATCTTGGCATCCTCATCCCATCCGAGGCATTCTTAGGCCTAGTTTAAGGCATCTCATTGAGGGCATAGATGTAGAACACACCGAGGCATTAGGGGTTAAGTTACTATCTTTCCCAACTGTGTAGCTTAGTGTGTTCAATCTGTTAACTGTGTAGGGTTGGCGACTGGAGAGGCACGCTCTAGCATACTATAGCCCGAACTCTGTGAGTAACGATTGTGTAAGATATGTTCACAAATGATTATCTTCTGAACAACTGAACTGTACTGTTTTCTGAATGAATGTACGTCCTATATTCTGAACTGTATTGTGGCATCCTTGGCACCTACTGTTTACTGTTACTGAGACAGAATTCTCTGTCGGTTCCCTTGTTGGAACCACTACTGTTTACTAACTGATGGCCATCACTACTGTTCGGTCTTTTAAGACCTACTGCTTACTACTGTTATGCTAATGGGTGTACCACATACGACTGTACTGACTGAACTACTGAACTACTGTTTAAATGAACTGTTTTCATACTGTAAGGACATTCATTCTTAACCTCTTTACGCATTATGTTATTCACTGGGCTTTAGCTCACTGTTTATATATATATGTAGGTGTTCAGCCACCAGAACGGAGCTAGGAGCGTGGGTTAGACTCCAGTTTTGTCAAGCCAGCCTTTGTGCCTCACTGCGAGGTTCCGAGTTGCCATGCTATGGCTTTGGGGTGTCTTGTTTTTCCCCCGTCTGTCTCCATACTGTTTGGTTTACTGTATAGACTGTCAGCTGCTAACTGTACTGTTATCAAGGGATTTAGTCCCTGTACTGTGTGACTGTGAATTTTGTATAGACTGTACTGTTTGTATATGTGAATGCATGAAAAATCTTTTTGGCATACAGACTGTCACAGCTCAATGGACATTATTTATTTACTGTTTTGGCTTCCGCCAGGCCCTGTACTCTGTTTTACTATACTACTGTTCTGCAGGCCTTCGGTAATCTCGGATTACTGGTCGGTTACGGTGCTAAACCCATAGGGCCGGGTTTGGGTCGTGACAATTTCCGACGGACTTGCTTGCGGCGGACCATCTCGCTCGGCTCAACGGGTAAAACTTAGAAAAATAAGGCAAGGCTCAGATAAAGAAATTGCCACGTTGGATCGACCCTCCAAACAGCCCAGGCAGTGGACCAAGCCTATCACATTTACTGACGCCAACTGCACAGGCATTTGTTACCCCCATGACGACCCCCTTGTCATTTCAGCCCTCCTCTCCAACTACAAGGTCAGACGGGTTCTCATAGACAACGGCAGCTCTTCAGACATCATCTTCCTCAACTGCTTTGGCCAGCTCAAGATTGGGGAGGAAAGTCTGTCTCCTCTCCCTTTGGTCGGTTTCACTGGTGACCGGGTGACCTCCATCGGCTCCATCGATCTTCCTATCACGATCAGCGAGTACTCGCGGCAGACCACAAAGTTGTTTACCTTCCTTGTTGTCGACTGGCCCTCTGCTTACAACATTATCCTTGGCCGAACCGCCCTAAACGCCTTCTAAGCCATCATCTCCATCTTCCATCTCGCCGTCAAGTTCCCTACCGACCTAGGGGTCGGCACAGTCAGGGGAGAACAGACTGTGGCCAGAGAATGCTATGTTGCCTCACTTAAAGAACTTAAGCTTAAGGAGACCATGATCATTGAAGGACTTGACGTCTGAGATGAGGACGAGCTGGTCAGAGGGGAGCCTGTGGAGGAGCTCATTGAGGTTCCCATCGACCCTACCAACTCGGCAAAAATTGCCAAACTCAGCAGCCAACTATCCACCCAAGCAAAGGCTGACCTTACTGTCTTCCTGATCGAGCACAACGATGTATTCGTTTGGACCCACTCAGACATGCCGGGTATTGACCCCTCATTCATAACTCATCGCCTCAGCATTGAACCCCATTTCCGGCCTTACCGCCAGAAGCAGCGCATTTTTCATCCAGAGCGCAACACTCTCATCGCTGCAGAGGTCGACAAGCTCCTTGAGGCACAATTCATCGACAACGTAGACTACCCTAGATGGTTGTCAAACGTCGTCCTGGTCCGTAAGAACAATAGTAAATGGCGACTCTGTGTTGACTACTCCGATCTCAACCGAGCTTGCCCCAAAGACAGTTATCCTCTCCCCCGCATAAATCTGCTGGTTGACGCCACGGCCTGTCATCAAATGCTCAGCTTCATGGATGCCTTCTCTGGGTATAACCAAATTCTGATGCATCCATCTGATCATGAACACACCTCCTTCATTACCAACCGAGGTACCTACCATTACCTTGTGATGTTGTTTAGACTGAAAAATACTAGGGGCCACCTACCAACGTTGGGTTAATGCTGTCTTCCATCATCAGATAGGTCGGAATATGGAAGTATATATCGACGACATGCTAGTCAAGAGCAAACTCTCCGTTGATCATCTGACCGACTTATGAAAGACCTTCGCCACCCTGCGAAAGTACCAAATGAAGCTCAACCCGGAGAAGTGCGCCTTCGGCGTAGGATCTAGGAAGTTTTTGTGTTTCATGGTCAGTCAGCGGGGTATTGAAGCCAACCCCGAAAAGATCAAGGCCTTGGTTGAAATGCAGTCACCTCGAATGGTTAAGGAGGTTCAAAGACTCACTGGCCGAGTGGCCGCCCTCAACCACTTCATTTCCTGCGTAACGGGTAAGTGCCTCCCCTTCTTCAAAGTTCTTCGGAAAACTTTTGAATGGACAACCGAATCCGAAGAGGCTTTTCAGCAGTTGAAACAGTGCATGGCGAACCACCTCCTCTCATAAGCAATCACGGGTGAACCCCTCTTCCTCTATTTAGCTGTGTCAAGCATCGCAGTCAGTGCCGCTTTTATCAGAGAAAATGGCCCTGTCCAACGGCCGGTCTACTACATCAGTCGGGCTCTCAGGGAAGCGGAGCAGAATTACCCACTATTAGAAAAATTGTCCTTGGCCTTGGTCACCGCCTCCAGACGACTCCGTCCTTACTTCCAAGCCCATTCCATAGTGATCTTTACCGACCAACCCTTGAAGAAAGTAATGCAGCAACCAGAACTCTCTGACAGACTCATGCAGTAGTCAGTGGAACTCAACCAGTTTGATATCTCCTACCGACCTCGAACAGCGATTAAAGGGCAAGCTGTCGCTGATTTCATTCTAGAATTCACTAATCCTACCCCAACTACGATCCCTCCACCCCCACCAACTCCTACCAACCCAGAAGACCCTCACTCTTGGACTCTCAACGTCGACGGATCATCCCGCAAGGAAGGCAGTGGGGCTGGTCTCATCCTCACCGCCCCTGAGAGTGGTTATTTCAAATGTGCTCTCCGTTTCTTGTTCAAGGCCAGTAATAATGAGCTTGAATATGAGACATTGATAGCAGGTCTTCGCCTAGCCCGGGATATTGGTGTCAGCCACATCTGGGTGTTCAGCGACTCCCTGCTCATTGTCGAACAAATTACGAGGGAATTCGATGCCAAGAAGGACACAATGCGGGCTTACAGGGACATAACACTCCCCCTTGTTCTCCTCTTCAATACCTTTAACATCAAGCACATCTCTCGGGCGAAAAACTCTAAGGCGGACGAGATGGCTCAGTTAGCTTCTGCAGACCAGTCTGATCTCAGCCATGGTGTCCGCCTCGACTACCTAGCCCACCCTGCCATTTCCCTCAACCAGCAAGAAGTCTAGTTCCTCCAAAATGAACCCATCCCTTGGGCCGCAGACATCTTTCTGTATCTAATAACAGGGGCACTTCCAGACGACAAACAGCAGGCCGCCAAAATCAGGGCTCGATCGGCTAATTACACTCTTGTCAGCGGACTCTTGTACAAAAGGGCTTCTCACGCCCATACCTGAGATGCCTCAATCCTGCTCAGGCGACCTACGTAATGAGAGAGGTCCATGAGGGTATATGTGGCAATCATTCGGGCGGCAGGTCCCTAGCCCACAAAATACTTCGCACTGGTTATTTCTGGCTTACTCTCAATCAAGACGCGATAGATTTTGTGCTTAAATGTGACAAGTGCCAACGTTTTGCCAACATCCCCCACGCCCCTCCTCCAGAATTGATTACCCTCTGCAGTCCCTACCCCTTCGCCAAATGGGAGATCGACCTGGTTGGCTCACTGCCCACTGGACAAGGCCAAACCAAATTCGCCATTGTCGCCATCGATTACTTCACCAAATAGGTTAAAGTAGAACCCCTTGCCACCATTATCGAGCGGAACACAACCAGATTCATCTGGCAGTCAATCGTCTGTAGATTTGGCATCCCTCAAGCCATCGTCTCCGACAACGGCAAACAATTTGACAATGCCAAATTCAGGAAATTCTGTGCAGAGCTCCAAATCCAGCCATGTTTCTTCTCCCCAGGCCATCCCCAAGCCAATGGCCAAGTTGAGGTCACCAACCGTTCTCTTCTCAAGATTATCAAAACTAAACTGGAAGCTGCTAAGGGACTCTGGGCTGAGGAGTTGCCGAATGTACTTTGGGCTTACCGCACTACCGCTCGGACTCCCACGGGGGAGACCCCTTTTCGCTTAACATACGACGTAGAGGCGGTCATCCCAGTGGAGATCGGTCTTCCTATCGCAAGGGTTCTACATCCGAATCCAGAACTAAATGAAGAGCTGCGTCGGGTAGACCTAGACCTAATTGAAGAGCTCCGAGAAACAACTGCAGTCAGACGAGCCTCATACCAACAGAAAATGAGAACACATTACAACTGCAGAGTCCGACCGAGGGAGTTCGCTGTGGCGGACCTTATTTTGCGAGAAGTAACTCTTGCCACCAAAAATCCGACTGAAAGCAAACTAGCAGCCAAATGGGAGGGACATTACGTTGTGAAGGCCAGACCACGTCTGGGCACTTATCGACTTTAGGACATGGAAGGTCGAGATCCCCCCCATCCTTGGAATGCTGAACATTTGAAGCGCTATTTTCAATAAAAGTTTTATTTTTTGTATGTTCTCATTTTCTCCTCATATGGTGTAAATTTATGACCCCATAGGCCTATACTTTATATGACAGCAAGCTTATATTTCAGTTATCTGTGGTATTCCAATAATGCTTTGATTGCAGCCTCAGCCAGCCTGAGCACAAAAAGCCTCAGCCAGATTGAGCATGAAGAGCTCAGCTAAACGGAGTCACAAAAAGCCTCAGCCAAACGGAGCACAAAAAGCCTCAGCCAGACTGAGCACAAAAAGTCTCAGCCAAACTGAGCATGAAGAGCTCGGCCAGACCGAGTCACAAAAAGCCTCAGCCAGACGAAGCACAAAAAGCCTCAGCCAGACTGAGCACAAAAAGCCTCAGCCAGACTGAGCATAAAGAGCTCGGCCAGATCGAGTCACTTAAAGCCTCAGCCAGACTGAGCACGCAGAGCCCCGCCAGAGTGAGTTGCCAGTGGCCATACTTAGTCACATCCTAGTCCTACGTTTTCCAAATCAGTCTCGTTCCTCGCTGGGTTGGTATCCATAAAATTCACTCTGCATTGAATTTTTACAAGTTGAAATTCACTCTGCATTGAGTTTTTCTCACATTCCTTCTGCATTGAATTTTTACAAGTTAAAATTCACTCTGTATTGAGTTTTTCTCACATTCCCTCTGCATTGAATTTTTACAAGTTAAAATTCACTCCGCATTGAGTCTTTCCCACATTCACTATGCATCGAATTTTTCTTACACGTTAAACTTCACTTTACATTGAGTTTTCCTTACATTTTACACTTCACAATGATTTACACATAAGCCTTATACAAGTCGCCTTTCTCATTCACTTCAGATGCGCAAACAAAAGCAGAAGCATGAAAACAACTCAAAATTTTATTTATTCACAAACTTGTATATAAGTTTCTTACAGTCATTCAAAAGTTTTTTAAAAAAAAAAAACACAAAACACAAAACACAAAACACAAAACACAAAACAAACTTTAAGTACAGGTTCTGTTCACACCAATCACTCTTCCTCACTTGAAAAAATGTCTTCTTCTTCAATGCCCTCATCTAGAGGGGTCTGGGCCACATCGTCGTTATCAATCCTTACACTGCTAAGGTCCAAGCCTGGGAACAGTTCTTCTGCCTTCCGCTTGAACATCTTCCAATCACTGTCCCAGAACTCAACCATTTTGTGTTTGTAGAAGTCCGACCGCTGGAAGCTCTCAATAACTTCTGCTTCAGTCCTGCCCCCAGCGGTCGTTCCCGATGGGCCAGCCCCCCCAGACACCTCCCTTGCCAAGTTGCTGGCGACCGCGGCATCGACTGCCATCTGAAATTCAGCAGACCCCTTGAATTGCTCTACTGCTGCAGCGCACAGATCGGGGTATGCTGCTCTTTCAGAGGCTGCCTTGCTTTTTTCATCCTCCAGCTCCTTTTGCAACCTTGCCTTCTCCTCCATCGCCCTACCACGCTCATCCTTCAGCTCCTTTTGCAGCCCAGCAATCTTCACGTCCGTTTCATCATTCTCTTTGATCTGCTGGGCGCGCAGTTCTTCATTGTTGATCATTGCCTCTTCAAATAGCTCGGTGGCGACCATGCAGCATTTTGGGCATCCCCCAGCTTCTTCTGCTCCCCAGCCAGCTGGAACTCGAGCAACACTACCTTGCGGCGTTCGTCCTCTAGCTCCAACCTGACCGCCAGCAGCTCAGCATGGGCACGGTTGGCAACATTGTCTTGCACGATCGCCAATACTTCTATCTTTTTTGCTTTCTCAGTCTCTTGCCAACCCATGGCACATGCGCTTCGCGCAGCCTTCTTCCAGCTTGCACTCTCCTTCTTGAAACTTGTAAGCTGGGCCTTAGCCTTCTCCGACTTGACCTTCCCAGCCGCCGCCTTTCTCAGCAGAGCCCCTACTAAGGTGGTTACCTCAATTTGGGCAGAGCACAACCCCCTTAGCAGCTCAGCCTCATTGAACCTGGAAACCGAGCACACGGCTGCCTTGTCCATAATCCCCACAAGGCGATCTGCAGCCGCCCTGGCTGGGCCTTCTTCTCCCTCCAACCGCCCAGACACGGCGCGAGCATGGTAGATTGCAGTCGTCAACCTAGCCCCTTCTCCTTGGGGCGCAGGGCCCCTATTGGGCTACTGCTCCATCACTTCCTTAGGGTCAACCGACCCACTTTCTAGTTGCACCTTGGGGTCCAGGGCGCTTGCATGCCCTTTTTCCTCGAAGACTCCTTGGCACTTCTCCTCCTGCGCCTCTGCGACGACGACCGCTTTTGGAGTAGCCTCCACTCATTTTTTCCCTGTTTCCTCCGCCATCGGAGTGCCCTCACCACCCAACCTCGCCCTCTTCAACCTAGGCGCATCTGAGGCCCCCTCAGGGGCAACCCTTCTCTTCTTCTTCTTCTTCAAGACCTCTCCCTCCTTGTTTGCCCTTTCCTTCACCGAATCAATGGGGGGCGGTCGTGGCTCGAAACTGCCCAAGTCTTTTCCCCCCAACGGCTTGGGGCGCAGTCGGATTCTTTCCCTCGCGACCGGTTTTGGTGGCAGGCCTAACTGCACTTCCTTGAACTTATTGGCTTCAGCAAAAATGGCCCGGTCCTTCGCCTCTTGCGCTTTCCTCTTCGCCTCAAGCTCTGCCGATGCCAGATCCACACCGGTCGGCTGAGGGCCCAATCCTACGGCAAACAAAGCTAATGGCTGAACGAGGTCGTCCCATCTGATCCCCTCCTTCTCCCTCTATGCCTTCACATTTTTCACCCTCTCCTCCGCTGCAGCCCCCAGCTTTGGCTCCATAGACTTGGTGGGTACCTTCCACACCGTGCGTACTCTAACTCCGCCGTTCGCAGATACGTAGAACCACCGCGGCCTCCATCCTTTAATTGATGACGGCAACCCCGCCACCAAACCCCTTCCTGCTGTCACCTACAAAGTGACCCAAGTTTCTTACTGGCCCGAGGCCTTATAGCAGGTAAAAAACTCGTCCACCGTCATGGCCGCTCCCTCGTTCGCCTTCGGCCACGCACTTGCACAGGCCAGTACAATCTTCCATGCGTTGGGCATTAGTTGGCTTGGCACGACTTCCAATTGGTTGAGGACATCCACTACCACCTGTGGAAGTGGCAACCTCAACCTTCCCCTCAACGCCTCTTCGTATAAGGCAAACTCCCCCGGCCGGGTGTCGGAAGGCCTCTCCGTTGCTGTCGGTAACATCAACTCTATTTCTTTAGGCACCTGGTATTTTTTCCATATACCCTCCAACTCCTCCGCCGTAACGGTTGACTTGTCAGCCTTCGTATGCCAATGATTTGGCTCAGCCTGGCTGATTGGTTTTGGAGCCGCTATCATCGTCAACGGACGAGCTAAACTCGTCGACTCCCCTGATTTCTCCACTTGCCTCTCCCTCCTATATCGTTCTGCCAGGTCCACCCCGTCATCATCCCCTAGGGGATCACCCTTGCGGTGGTTGCTTCCTCTTATGTCATCCCTATTGTATGTCTTCGAATAGCTTCGGATGCGGGCACAAGAAAATTCTAGAAGTGTTGCAGGGGTGAATCGTTGGCAACGAAGGAATTTACGTTGGGAATGTTTTGATGTTTTGCGAAAAGATAGGTAAAACGAGTAATCTCAAAGGCCCAAGGTTTGCCCGTATTCCAAAGGTCCCTATTAAATTTCGCCAGTTTGAAAATTTTTCAAAAAACTGCTAACACTGTCTTTTCAACACCCTATAATGACCTATCGTTTCACTCCTGGCCCAACGCCTAACCTTCTCCCACCAGATGTTGCCACGTGTACGACCGCGATTCACTGCCTCCCTTCTCACTTCCAGTCGTCACGTGACCCGCCGTCTCTCGAGCCCCGCGCCCCGTCGCCCTACCTTTCGCGGTCGGCCCTCCTCATGGTTGGTCCCTTCACTCGGCTACCCTTCGCGGTCAGCCCTCCTCATGGTCGGTCCCTCCACTCGGCTATCCTTCGCGGTCGGCCCTCCTCATGGTCGGTCCCTCCACTCGGCTACCCTTCGCGATCGGCCCTCCTCATGGTCGGTCCCTCCACTCGGCTACCCTTCGCGGTCGGCCCTCCTCATGGTCGGTCCCCCCGCTCGTCTACCCTTCATAGTCGGCCCTCCTCACGGTCAGTCCCTCCACTCGGCCACTTCTGGTCGGTTGTTCCTTTCATTATTTATTCCCTTCGTTGGACTAAAGCTGCACTTGGGAATGTGGGACTACTGACGTGGATAGGCTCATAAAACCCATAACCCACTATGAACAACCCAAGCGTACCACTTAGGGCCTAATGCATGACCCAATTGATAAAGCCCAGCACGGTTGGAAGTCAACATGACATGAAGGACCAATGATATTCAGACACGTGGCAGGTAAAGGGCAAGCCACATCAGCAGACAAAGTTCTACAAAGTTATTGCCACTGCACATCGCCATTAATACAACCCCTCACAGCATTTATTACGACAACACCTCTCCGTCGGGACAGCACACCCTCACCCTGAACAAGGTAAGCTATAGCATAGACTTTTGGCCAAGGTAACAGGTCGGAAGGGACAACGAAATGATTACCAAAGAATATAAGCAGACGTTGAAGACAAGAAGAAGGTTAAGCTTTCTATCTCTAATCTATCTACATACTCCACTCTCTCTTTCTAACTTGCCCGTCGGAGGGTTCGCTGGGGGACTCCCCGTTCCCCGTTCCCCGTTGAACTCGTGTGCAGGTTCTCTGGTGGGTTTAATCATTCGGATATTAGGCTTGAAGAGCGTGGATCAGTCCAACCCGTCCTACCATCATAACTGTATCATCATTCCAAATTCAAGGTGTCAACTCATTAGGCCTGTTTGTTGCGTTTATTTTAAGTTAAAAATTGATCATCTATGAAAATAATTTAAAAACATTCCTTTCTCAGTTTTTAAAACTTTTTTCAGCAATTTTTACTCCATAAAACTATTAACAGAAATCAAAGCAAACGGTGTAGAAAAATAAATAAATAAATAAATAAAATAAAATAAATAAGTTACAACAAATCCATTCACAATGCAATAAAATTTGGTTTGTCATAGTCAAACAAACACAACAGACATAAAGCACACGTTTTGATATGAAGGTGGGCCCAAAACCTCAAACTCATCACACAAAATTGAATACACAGGACATATGCAGGAGGGCAAAAATTTGCCAATTAGGGAGTGAGGCAATCTCACCTTATCCACACTCCCACCACAACCTTAACTTCCACTCATCATCAAAATCCCTTCCACATCACTCCCTACCCATATCATCAACTAACTTATCCATAAAACACTAAAAAAACCAAAATCAATTCGCACAAGCAACAAGAAGCACCACCAAAAATGGCAGCCATGAACTCCAATGTGCTAGCTTGCAACTATGCCATCTCTGGTGTTGGACCATCATCAGAACTCTGCTCAAAACTTTCTCCAATTCCATCACTCGCATCGCCTGTTGCGCACAAGTTGCCTGTGATCAGGAGCCAACAAACATCAACTAGATTTCCTGATTCTAACAAGATTATTGGGAATGATGGACGGAGAGCTGCTTTGCTCGGCCTTGCGGCCGCACTTTTCACTGCAGCCGCATCAGCATCTTCTGCCGATGCAGGCGTCATCGAAGAATACCTCGAAAAAAGCAAAGCTAACAAGGTTTGTTTGTTTGTTTGCTAGTCATTATTATTGCTGATTTTATTTGAAAATAAACTTATAATAAAGAGCATATATATATGATGGTTGTAGGAATTGAATGACTCGAAAAGGTTGGCTACAACTGATGCAAACTTTGCACGGGCGTACACCGTTCAATTCGGCACCTGCAAGTTCCCTGAGAACTTCACTGGCTGCCAAGATCTTGCTAAGCAAAAGGTTTAAATCACTCGTATCATATAATATATCTCCTGCTAATTGTTTCTATTTAATAGTTTGTTTTTTTTTTAAAAAAAAAAAAAATAGTGTAACAGGATTCCTTGTTTAACTAATTTTGTTAAATGGTTTGGTGAATGCAGAAAGTGAAATTTCTCTCTGAAGATTTGGAACTGGAGTGCAAAGGGAAGGACAAGTACAAGTGCGGTTCCAATGTGTTTTGGAAATGGTGAAAAGTGAGAAATTCTTGTATCTACTGATCATAATCTCCCTCAAAACTCTTGTATTTTTTTTTTTATATATTCCCACTGGCACTGAGAACTTTTGATCAATATTGTTGTGGTTTTATGTTTGGCTCTATTGTTTTCCTGCTTCATTGTTGAATACCTAGCTAGAAGTATTGGTTAAAAGAAATTAATATAAAAAAAAATGAAGGCAATTTTTCCCTAGCAAATGGATCCATGAAATTTAGATCCCCCATCATGATCTATGACAGATTTCTAGTTAATCATAACAAGGTACGGCTGATTTGGGGGAAATTTGTATAGTTGAGGGGAATAATAATAATAGTTGAGAGGGTCTTGATGTAAATAACCCAAATAATACTAATAATAATAATCTACAGCAGCACTGGGTGTTTTACACCATCCACTATTGACTCCCAAAAAAAATAATGATGAAATAAAATAAAAGAAATAGGAGGAGAAAAATTTGAATCTCATTTCCAAAAACAGTTACCAGGATTACATGTCTGCAATTCTCATTCTCATCAGCAAAATAAATTTCCTTTTCCTATGAATGTAATTCTTTCTGTCAGAGATCGGTTTTTGGGTTCAACACCCCAAATTTTGCATCCTAATGTTGACTGACAATGACAATGCAATGAAAAGAAAAAGTTGAACTTACTACAAAGGAAGCTGTTCAAGTATAAAATTGTGAACAGATCCCATTTCAAATAAATGTATAGATCAGAAGACATCTCATCTCATCCACATAAAAAATCCGAGTCCTAGTCCGAGTCTGACCCTCGTTGCCAAGAATGTCAACAAGTTCACATTTTGATTGAGATTGAGACCTCTATCATCCGTATGAGGCTATGATATGCACAAACCATACCCAATCAACTGCTGCTTTGCAAACCTGTCGTATCAACCGCATATGAGAAAACCAACAGCATAAAAAGCAGCTCACGAGTATGAACACCAAGATGAAGATCTATTGCTCTGCAACTGTGGACACGGCAATGGGGTTACCCCATGAGTGAACCCCAAAACAAATTCACAATTCCACTTTGCAGATGGTGCTAAGCCAAGTATACTCACACTTCTCATGCATATACCTTCATATGGTGCACCCTCAATACCCTCTAACAATGGGGCTTTTAAGGAGTCTATACTGATCACATTACTTATAAAAATACCCTTTACTTTCGGCATAGCTTTCGGGTCCCACCCCTCATCCGGGTGATCATTGGCACCTCTACTGAACCGTATGGGTATTTTAACTCTCTCCATTGATATGTTATTTACAGTGATATTGGATATATATCCCCCTCTTCCCTTATCGGTTTTTATTCTCATCCCAGCTGCTGAATCTCTAATGTGTAAATCCTCCACAATAACATTTGAAATCCCACCGGACATTTCACTGCCTATTCCAACCCCAGAACATGTCGGAGTTGTGCCTGAGACTCTCCTTATGATGATGTTAGAGCTTGGACGTGCCATTGCTATACCGTATTGGTCCCACCCGCTCTTCACCGCTACAAGATCATCTCCACTCTCGATATAACAATCTTCAATACACACATTAATGCTCGAGTCTGTGAATATTATATTTGACCAGGAGATTATTAGATAAACTGAATAGATGAATATAAAATCCATAAATGCAAAAAAGAGATTGAAGCAACCTACCTGGGTCTATACCATCGGTATTTGGAGCATTGAGTGGAGCCAAGATTGTCATGTTTTTTATCACAACATTACTGACAAAAATTTAGGAGTGCATGTTAATTTTCTACGGACAAAACTTCAATGCATATGCAACTTTCATTAAGATTAACACTCTGTTTGTTTGGGTGGAAAATGATTTCTAGAAAAATATTTTTTTGTATTTTCAGGTGATTGATACAATAGAAAACGAAAGTCAATGGAAAACATTTTCTATGGTCAACAAAAAACAAGCCTATATGGACAGAAAATATTTTCCACTTCTAAAAGGCAGAAAACCTTTTTCCAGACCAAAGACTTACCAATGTCACCACACTATCACCATCACTCTCACCTCCACTCCACTCCATCACCACACCACCATCACCACGCCACTGCCACCATCACCGTCGTTATCACCGTCACCGTCGTTATCACCGCCCCGGTCACCCCACCATCATGCCACCACCTCCACCTTCGTTTCACCACCACCACCACCAAACATAGAAAAAAAATTTCTCCAAAAAAACATTTTTTGGAAAAAGTTTTCCATAGAAAATATTTGAAAGTGTTTTCCACCCAAACAAACGGAGTGTAAGATGAAAGGTCAAGTTTTTAGTTCTACGATCTTTATTAGTGATGTGTGTACTGCAAATACCAACATTTCTATGATACACCGTAAATCCAAAACTTTTGAAGTGTAAGAACTCTTTAATTAGTTGATTGTCTCCTCTAAGATGTTGTATAACAAATTTGTGAGTCGAAGAAGGAATAAAAGTACGTTTTTCTAGCTAGTTTGAGGTAGGCTTTACTGAGGCTCCCCTCGATGCTCGCCTTGAGGCGAGGCTAAGGAAAACGCCTCAAGGCTTTGATTTTTACGCTTTACTCCCCAAAGGCTTGCGCACACAGTCTTGAGACATGCGCCTTAGGTGCGTCTTGTACACTTTTTTACGCATAAGCATTTGAGGAGTAAGCATATGAACAATTTACCTTAGGCTCTTATTAAACTTAGGGCTCATTTGGGGACTGACTATTTTAGTCAAAAAGCCAACTAAAACTAGTCACATCACCTCTCTACTTTTCTGCACATCTTTTCGTAAAAAGCCAAAAAGTTACTAAAATAACCTATTCCCAAACGAGGCCTTAGTCTAGTAGATGGTTTAAACATAAAAAACTAAAAAAATAAAAAAATAAAATATTCTATAGGAAAAATTAAGTAAATGACCAATCAAGAAAAAAACACAAAGTTAATGCAAAGTGAGAAGCTCAAAGCTGAAAATACCAATTTCACTTTCAATAAAACAAAACTTCCTTCTCTATAGTGAAAAAAATTATTTACACCTTTATATTTAATTTTGATTTTTTTATTTATTGTTTTAAAATATTTAAATTATTTACTAAATATAAAAATTAAAAATTTGAAATTTGAAATGCTTAAGCCTCAATGCCTTCAGGCTTACGCCTCGCCTCATAAGAGGTAAAACGTCTTACGTTACGCATTTTTCTTTAAAATTTTTGACTAGAATCATATTAGTAAAGAGGCCAAAAGACTCTAAGGCATAACGGTGAAGGACCTTTTCTACAATCTTCACAATTGTCACATTGATACAAGACTATTGGCAAGGCACGTTCTTGTGTTTAATTTCCAATTCTCATTCTGCTTCTTTGTTTTCAAGGTGCTAATACATTATAGAAAATGATTAAAAATTTAAAAAAATTAAAAAAATTTTTTTATCAAAAACACCACTCCCAAAAATAAATTTTTTTTTTAATTCTTGGAAGCTATTTGAGTACATTCTAAGATTTATTAACTCCAATGGCCGATTACTAGTAAGCAACAATTGAGAGCAATGTTAAGAAGAAAATAGAAACAAATTGAGAGATGAAAAGCACCAGAACTGAACCTGCAGTAAACAGGATGGATGGTCCAAAAAGGAGAATTACGGAAGGTGAGGTTGGAGATAAGTACGTTGCTCGAATTCATTAGTTCAAGGAGGTGGCCTCTAGTGTGCTTCAATGTTCTGTTCCACCACATATCCCACCACATCTTGCCCTGACCGTCAATTGTCCCATTCTGCCCTGCAATCAATTGAAGTTAACTCATTAGATTCCCTCAACCACCTGTTTGGAACATTTTTTATAGACCACTCAAAACAGTTTATTACTGTAATTTTTAGATCTTCAAGAGAGCCACAAGATGATGATAATTGATGCATAGTCTAATGTTCTTTTTATTTATTTATTTATTAGGGGAATAAAGAAGAGTGGTGGAAAAAGATGCCACTCTTATGATAATCTAGAGTTCTCTGTTTCATCTGCAAGTCCATGGCATGTTCATGATAAATGCTCCAGAAAACATATCTAAAGGGCTACACATGAGTACTGTTATTGAGAGTCCCGGATGATTTTGCATTTAAGCATATGCATGACTAAAAATTGAAAGTTCAATTTTTCTCTTTATAGAATAAATAAACCAACCCGAAACTTCGCCATGTGGGTAATATTGCAAGACACATGAATAAGATAGTTGGTGGCAAGTACTGGGTATTCACTAAATTGGTAGTGTGTTATTAGATAATCAACAATTGATGCATAAATTAAACTTCCTGATATATGTCTTTATAGTCTCACTGAGGAGGAGGAGGAAAAGACAGGGAAAACAAAAACAAAATGAAAGTCTCTACTCGGAATGATCATAACTGTTGGAAACACTGCATATTTTCTAAGTGGAACGAAAAGGATGACAGTAAATTTAACTTTGTAATTAATCAAAAGACGACAACTTTTTTTTAACCTAATTCCAGTTCAATGAAGGAAGAACTTAAATTGCTACTTTTCAAAAAGAATGTCAAGGGTTTTGAGCTTGAATGATGAAGGAGCATCAAATAATATGTTTGGGTGGGCCTGACTAGTAAATTAATTAGCATAAAGTTTTGTAGGCATCATCATTTATTTAATGGAGTATGTCCAAGATCATCTTCATTACCACACAGCCAAACAATAAACTAAAGGACTGAACACATCAATAAAAAGTATATTTCACAACCTCTGTAGTGGTCAACTAATATAGCCTAGAAAGGGTAGCATCAATTCCAGGTAGGTTCTAGCTCAACCCACCAAGTTTAATTATTGTACCACTTAAAAATAAAGAATGGTATCAATACAAAGGGGGAAAAAAATTCTATTTCTACCAAACATGGTGTTGTAAAGATGTTTCCTTACTTCACAACATAGGGGAAAAGAAAAAACGAAGATGAGGAAAGTAGTTGTACCTAGGTGAGTGTATTAATCTAATCTCCACTATTTCTCACAACAAATCCATTTTGATTGGCATAGTTCAAAATAACATCATGATTAAAATTTCAAGAAATGAGTAATAAAATTACCTGTAATTATGACATCACTGAGACCATCTCCGTGGATGAGGCTTATATGCCTCCCTCCCATCCTTTCTCTCCCTCTTCCATAAGAAGGCAATGGCTCTATAATAGGCCATTCCTTTGGGTCCTATTATTTGTGAAAATAAAATAAATGAAAACAAATTAGAGATTAAGAAAGAAGCATTTTCTAAGGGGTACTTAGACATGACAGGAATTTGATTGATTCATTGTGTTTTCAAGATTTGAACTGCAAATGTAGATAAAATCAATTTGGATCATTAGCGCATTAATTCCCAAAATTTCTTACTCTTTTTCATGTGTCAAGAAATGTAAATTGACTCATTTGATTGACAGATACCAAAATTTTAATGCCCAATACCAAGAACAGAATGGAATCATCTTCCACAATCAGTTTTCTAAGTTAATCGAGAGTGTCATGGTTCCTCAAAGATGAGGAAAATTTAAAAGAAGTTTAGACAAGAATTAACCATTTTGGGTGAGCAATCCAAAGAACATTCAATTTCAAAAAAGAAAAAAACAAGCAAACAAACAAACTAGTATAAAGAAATTTTAAAAAGTAGCATCACAGAAGGAATCTCTCTTTCTCTCTCTCTCACATTCATTAATACCTACTTTGTCATCAAGCAAAAGGTTAAACCAACCATCAACACACATTTAAATACTCAAATATGTCTGGCCATTTGATTTGATTTCCATCGGCATTCTCATGTCACTGTTCAGTGATACTACTCGAGTCCGATAGAAATGGTAAATGTGTAGATGTCACAAAATAAATTATTTTTGACTAGTGCATGCAATTTATTTTGAGTAATACTATACATAATTATATTTTTATCTCATTTTCTTACTCCTATAAACCCAAAAAATAGTCCAACCAACAATAATGATAAATGCACGTAAGACATATTCACTTGTATGTACAAGTGAGAAAGTGAGGTGACAAATGGAATCATTTTCAGCATTTTCAAACATTATATATACTAGTAACTATTTTCTTTGTACAAGTATTCACTAACTATTTATTTCATTTGTTTCCTTGATAGAAATTTACTCAAGGCAGCTAAAAAGTAGTGAAATTCAATTGCAGTCACACCAAATTACATAAACTATAACCAAGTACACTAAGAATTGGATTTCAGTTTCCAATTAAATAAAAACAATTGGTAATTTAAAACACAACCCATATATATATATATTCACTGACCTAACCCTAATGCTGTGTTTGGTTGAAGAATTTAAAAAGAGAAATTGAAAAGATAGGTGAAATGTAAATAAAATATGCCTATATTTTATTAGTTTCACACACCTTTTTCCTTTTCCTTTTCCTTTTCCTTTCCAAATCTCTCCCCAAATCCCGACCAAACAACCAAACAGTATAATAGTATATATAAATGAAATGAAATTTACCTGAGAACCTAAAATGATAGCACCTTGTTGAAGAAAGAGCGTGAAATTGCTGGTGAGATTAAAGCTACCAGTGACCCACCTCCCTCTTGGAACATTCAGCTGGGCCCCACCTCTCTCTCCGAAGCCCTGCATGTGTTGTATCGCCCGCCGGAACGCCGCCGTGTTCGACGCCCTCCCGTCTCCCACGCCGCCGAAATCGGTGATCGACATCACCACCTTCCTCCGCGTCCCTTCCCTGAAGAACCCCGCACAGCTCCGACGCGACGACGGAGTTTCCTCCGCCGAACCACCACCGCCGACCCACGTGGGGAAAACAGTGTTGGTGGTGATCTGGACGCCAAGAAGGGCTATGACTGTCAACATAAGCAATAAAAAAGCCCATGAAGGTCTGCTCAAACCACCCATGATTGCACCACATACTAATAATTGTTGTTTAACCTCCATCATCACATCATAACCTGTACATACATCTAAATCTCTCTCTATATATATGCGTGTGAAAATTTAGGAGAGAGAAAAGGTTTTGGCTTTGGATTTGATTTTGGTTTTGGTTTTCGTTTTGTCGATGAAATGGAACAGTTTTTATTTTTTTGATATTCGATGATGGTGGTGGTGGTGTGGACGAAACGAAACGAAACGAAACGAGGACGTGTTGGATCGGGGCGTGTGCGTACTGCGCATACCGGTGTCGTTTACTGGGGTTACAAAGTCTTAGGAAAATATGTGGGCCCCATTTCGGAAAAGTTCGAGAAGGTGTGATCCTGTTTGTTCGGTGTTGAAGTTCTAATCAGGTGTGGCTGGTTCTAGGTATTCTATGCTGGGTCACCAATGGTTCTTTGCCATGCTTGGAATATTGGGCCGGATGGGTTTTTCGTGCTTGCGTGGCGAAAGTTTATAGCGTACTTTTTCTTATTGAGGGCGTTATAGCTTCCGCAGTGAATGGAACTGGAAAGGTATTAGACCGGTGGAAAAACATGAAGATGCCGCTCTTCACGGGATTCTTTTTTGGAGAAATTTCGAAAAATACAGGCTACCAGAAAACAATTATAGATGATTTGGACAAATATTCTCAATAAATTTTATTTTAAAATTATTGTTATGTCCATTAATAAATTTAAGAGTAGTTTAAAATGATCTAAATAAGTATATTTTTTAACTTTTTATAAAATATGGGATGAATTTAAAGTGATGTGGTAGAGAGATGATGTGATTTAAATAGAATGATATGACTTAAATAAGATAGTGACTTTTTGACTTTTTTTGAAGATATCAAACCAAACCTTAGTATGAGCTGATTTGGGATGGGAGTTGATTTTTAGTAACTATTTTAACTTGAAGTTAAAAAGTTTTGTTTGAGATAACTTTTTTGACTTTTTAATTTTTATGAGAAAAAAAATGAAATAATTATGAATTGAATGTGATATTTTATTCTGTTTGACTAAAATAACATATTTTGTCTTATATAGCTATTTTAGCTCAAATGTTCTTCCCAAACAAACTCTATGAAACACACATCAATCTAAGCCTCTCACCACCACACACATCGCAAAACCTTAGTTTGCGACACCGCTTTACCAGTTTTCAATTTTCTTCATATCTTTTATGTTACTCAAATTTCTCTAACCCTCTTCCTTTTTATACCCTATTCCCAACCCCCACCACACACCTCATTTCTCTTTGTTACATTTTGCAATTGCCTCGCTTCCCCCTTCTCCTGCCACCTTTTTTTTCTTTCCCAAAACTATCACAACTCTCCTTCTACCATTCTTATTCTTCTCATCTATAAACCCTAGATTTGGGTTTTTTTTCTTCTTTTTCTTCTATTTCCTTTGAAAAACCTTAAATTTGAGTGGCAAAAGACTGGAGAAAGGGAAGGCTAAGTTGATGGTTCGAGGTGACTAGGTCACGGTAATAGTGATGGGCAAATGGCTTAGGGTTTGATGAAGGAGCGACAAGAAAATGAGGAAAGCTAGGAAAAAGGTGGTGGTGGGACGACAAAACTGGTGAGGTAGCAATAGGAAGAAAAAGAAGAGGAGCCGACAACAAAGGTGGCACTAATAGTTTAGGGTTAAAGTTATGGAAAGGACAAAAAAATGTTAAAGATAATGGCACTGTTTGGGAAACACAGGTTAAGGCTATTATAGCCTCATTTAGGATATAAGCCAAAAAGCGTGAACAGTAGGCAAAGGTGCGAAATTCACAAAAAAAATAGGCACAGCCTACACTGTTAGTTGACAGATTGTAAAATCAATTAAAAAATTACGATTTCACCCCTTTATATCAATTTAAAAAATTATAATTTTAGGGACAAATTTGTCATTTTAACTTCAAACATCATTTCAACACATTTTTCAATACAACAACTCAAATAAAAATCCATCTCATCTTCCCAAACACAAAAACTAAAATAGCCTACTAAAATAGTCAAAAAGTCAAAAAACCTCTAAAATAGCCACTTCGCAAATGAGGCCAATGGCATTATGGGAAATTAGTGGCCTGAATTGAGAAATAAACAAAAAATCCAAATTGTTTGTGGTGTGAATTGAGAAATGATATGTAATGAGAGAATTATCGGTATGCAAATGGAAGCTTCCTTACAAAAATGGTGGAAATTTAATTTTAATTACGTTAGGGATGGGAAGTTAAAAAATAAATATAAAAACATGATTTTTCTTGGGAGATACTAATAATTCTCACCTAATTACTTTGGACCTAGTTCTTTTATTTATTTGTTACATTTTTACCCTAAAATAAAATTTTCATTTTCTCACCATTTTATCCCCGTCCCATTTTCAAGAGACTTTTTGAAATTTAAATATTGGTTTTAATTTTTTATATTATATTTATTTGAAGTTAATTTTCTAGCTTTTTTCAATGTAAAATTATTAATTGAACTTTTGTAGCCAAGTTTTTCTACCATGTTTTTTTTTACTTAATAAAATGGCTAGTCCACTTAATATTGTTTTGTGGCATGTCAAAATTATGGTAAAATTTTATCAGTTTTAAAATATTTTGTTAGCAGTACATGTATTAGGAAAAGCATCAATTTTTTTTAAAAAAAAAAATATAATTTATTGTGTTAATGGATGTGTTTTTCTATTCTCCTATCTGTATAAATTATTTTGAAACTTTTAACTCAAAAAATAAATTTTAACTATTAGCTTAGTGAAATTATCATGTTTCAAAAAATCTTCAAAATTTGGCTCTCAAAAAAAAAAGAAAAAAAAGAAAGACCCTTCAAAATTAGGGGTATTTTTTTTAAGGTCCCTGATATTATGATTTTATAGTATAAAGAACATCAAATATTTTCATGATGTCTAAGGTCCCTCAACATCAATCCAGAGAAAATTGGTCCAGAGAAAATTAAAGTCAGAGAAAATTGGTCAAAAGAAATTATGGGAAGAATTTCTCTGGACTTTCTAGACTTCCCTAAACTTCCCACTGTAAATTTCTCTCCCCTTTTTTTGTTTTAACATAAGAATTCCCCTACCTCAGAGAAATTCTTCCTGGACTTCCCTAAACTTCCCACTGTAAATTTCTTTGCCCTTTTTTTTGTTTTAACATAAGAATTCCCCTACCTCAACTCACTTCCTTCCTATACACTGCACCTGAGATGGTCTACAAGACAGCTAGAGCCATGGTGCTATATTCCAACGTCAATGTGCTTTACAATCTGAGCTGGTTTTTCCCCATTGATTCTGGTTTCTTCTACCTTGTTCAGCTGCATTTTTGCGAGGTGAATCGGTGGATGAAAACTGTAAACCAGAGGGTGTTTGACATATTCATCAACAATGAAACAGCCGAAGTTAAAGCTGATGTTATTACTTGGAGCAACGGGTACGCAGTTCCAGTGTACCGAGACTATGTTGTTTTGGTTCCAAAAATAAACAATGGGGAGAAGCAAGACCTATGGCTAGAGCTACACCCAAACACGAAAACAAAATCTCAGTACTATAACGTCATTTTAAATGGAGCTGAGATCTTCAAATTAAGCAACTATGATGGAAACCTTGTAGGGCCTAATCCCGCAAAAAAGATTGTGGCTAGTTTGCCACCAAAGAAACATAACCCAAAATCATCAAAGAAGATTACCTTGATTATGGTTGGATGTATTCTTGGCGGGCTGCTAGTTTTTCTTATTTTCTCTTTCCTCCTTTATATGAACAGACCAGTTGGTGGATGATCTGAGCAACTAACATGCCGACGAAGCAATATCACCCTTCTCTCCAGAGAAATTCAAAATTTCTCTGGCTGCATGGTTAGAAAAGAAGGTAAACTTAATCAATATTAAAGTTGCATCACAAGTTAGAACTGAAATTTCTCTGCTTTGAACTGAAATTTCTTTGGGTTGGTCCAGAGAAATTCTCTGATTTTAGCTCAGCTTTAACATGATCTGGATCAGCAGTTGGTTGGTCAATTTTGTTTATGACTGGGATTATTGTCAGGTTAGATTCAAAAATAAGATAAAAGTTATCAACAGTTCACTCCATTGAGTGAATAAACAACAATAGCAACCTATATATATATATATATATATATATATAAATTAAAAGCTAGCCCCAAGCTCCAATGCAAAACCACACCAAGAGGACTTCGGGGTAGCAACGTAGATATAATAAACTATCTTGAATCACTACTTAAACATAAAATTCATTGGTTTGGAACATGATAACTTGATTTTTTGTGTTCTATAAGAGCATGCATCAAATGAAAAACTTGCATGGCTGCCCAATCAGGATAAACATGAATGTTGGTCGGATCCTTTGAATTTTTTCTGGTTGAATCCAGAGAAAATTCAAATTTCTCTGGGTTGAATCCAGACAAATTTGAGAAATTCTTGGGGCATGAGCTCCAAGACAGACCATAACCTTGCAGCTTCGGTAGAGTTGGATCCGAATTTGGATGTTGAAGCTTCGTTGCAGTCTGCCAAGTACTTTCCAAAACGTTTTCAAGCCTCGGATGTGTAGCAACGTAACAAGTCGTCGCAGCGGCCTGAACAAAAATTCAAATTCATTAACACACTTGCACCTACTATAAATACTTACAATAAGATATATAAATTAAGTGTATATCATCAAAAATTTCAGCGAGTGATTAATAAACACTACCTGAGGAATTGTCTTCAAGAACTTGGAAGCCAAGAAGAAAACCAGATCTGCATATTTTATCGCTTCAATTTTACAACCTCAAGACTCAACTAGATGCGTATATATATATATATATATATGCATGAATCTCAGGTTTAGAGAATAGTAGTGACCTGTTATGAGGCCGGGTCGTAGATCCGGGCGGCGCGGAGGTCTGCGACTGTGGCAGAGCGGAGGGAGGAGTCGGAGGAGAAGGTGTTGAGGAAGAGGTCGTAGAGGAGGGTGGAGGAGCAGAGCTTGTTGCCTTGGATCTGGAAGACAGTGGGTGAGAGGAGGAGAGAGAGAGAGAGAGAGTAGAGTAGAGACAGAGTCAAATTTCTCTGATATATGTTTAAGGACCTTAGACATCAAAAAAAAAATTTGTGGATTTCTTCCATTACGAAAAGTGAGAGAGGGACCCTAGACCAATTTTTCCTCAAAATTAAGATGATTTTCTAATTTTAATTTTTCAAAACAAAATAAAAAATAAAAAGGATAACTAAAGTTTGTAACCGTGAA